CCAAAAGCTACAACTCTTGTTGCATAGGTCCTGCTTTACCTTGGTCTAAACCATCCAGCAGAAAAGTATAAAAGCAAAATATAAGAAGTAAAGCCATGCTGTTATGTTGAGCTATAGGGGACTCAGGTCAACAATTTCTGAAATTGCCAGTGAAGCAGAGGACCCAATACTATTATGGGCTAATGGACTCTTTTAGAATATTTTACTGAGTTTACACACCTATACTATTCAAATAATGGAATTTAGCAAAAAAAGGGGCACACAGATGAATGTCCATTTTGTATCTGTGTATTCAAAGTGGTTAGGATAGATATTTAGTTACATTCTCTTAATGAATAGAGCGATTTGTTCTAATGGTGTTTGTAAATAGGATATCATGTCCACATCCTGTACAGCAATTAACCACTAGGAATAACGTATGCAATGTATGAATTATTGAAACTGTCCTACCAATTTGATTTGAAACTGTCTCATTGCTATTTGTTTATCAATAAAACTATAGGAAAATAATAAAATAAAATAATACATTAAAAAATCAGACAATAAAGTTGAGTTCTAACTATGCGCATCTCACACCTCTGGGCAACTTCAAGTTATGAGGTTTAAATAAATCAGATTTGATTGCTGGATAAAACCAGTGGGGAATGTAAAGGGTTAAAATTCTGTTCCTTAACTGTGGGAAATTATTTTAAAAACCTTGTGGTTTCTGTTAGACGGATTCTCCCTCTCGGCTCAAGGCTGTTCAACAATAAATAACTCTTTCTTGTCAAGGTAGCAAGCTCCCTTCCTAACCATCTCCTGTAATGTGGTCGGCTTAAGATGTATCTTGTACAATATGCACTTAACACTAAGCTATGAAAGATCTTTCATTATGAACAGTTTGCAGCTGTGTCAAATGTATGTAGTCTTCTGTTGTTCTGTGCTAGATAACAAATTCACTTACCAAACTGGATGTGATTTCTGTTATAAATACCCCCCTGCTACCTATGTTTGACTGCCGATCAGTCTTCTCCTGCATGAAAAATGGCTGACAGACCTGAGCTCAGTAAATAAAAGGCTCTATTCAAATTTCTATCTGGCCGATCTAGTTCCTATGCTGGGTGACCCATAACACCATGACCTAGGAAAGTTGTTCCTCAGGATTTGGTTCATAGTTACTCAATCCCTACAGCCAAGAGAGAAGGAAGTCTGGCTACTCTCCACCACATGAGCAGACTTTGGCCTCACCCATACAGTGCTGGTTTTAGGTGCATTCAAAATACAAGAGTTGTGAGCTTAGGAAGAATTCCACCAAGATATCAGAAGAAGGCCTGTGAGGCCAGGTAGTGTGTACCTCTGAGGGCAGTGTATGAAGATGTGAGGGGAAAGCCAAAGGTGCAGTGGAGATTCCAGAAGTTTGAAGGAGACAATCAAGGATTGACTGAGAAAAACTGCAAGGCAGGAGCAGAGCTAGCCCAAGAAAGAAGCCATGGAAGCTACACCTGACAGTCCCATGGGCACAGATTCATCCAAACCCTTTAGAGTTCATATCTGGCCCCAGCTTGCCTCAGATACTGATACTGCACAGGGAACAGGAGTTAATCTTTTCCATGCTGGATATTGGACTTGATTTGCACATGCCTTTGTATCCTCCTATTTGTACCTTTCAGAATGACAAGGTTTGTCTTTGCTTTGATGTTAGAGGAGTTCAACTTTATTTTTATTTGTGCAGAGGATCACAGCTAAAAGTTTGCCTTAACTCTCAGATCAAACTTTGCACTTGGATTATTGATAAATATGAAAAAGTGTTAGAATTTTGGCAACTCTTAGAGGTGGATTAAATGCCTTTTGTATAAAAGGATGTACATTAGTCTTTTGGGGGCAGAGGCAAAATGTTATGGCTTGTGCTTAGAAATCCCTCCAAAGTTTTATGCTATTATTTTTCAGAGGTAGCTGGGCCTAGAATGGCTGGTGCTGGAAATGATCCTAGGTACAATGGTAGGATCAAGGGCACTAAGACTAAGGGTGTGAGTGTTATTCCCCATAAGTATCCTGCACAAAATAAGGGGAAGAATGACCTGTGATCATCCCTTGGGGGCTCTCCCATGCTTGCTCCCCACAGACTGTTTCTCCTCTGTGATGCTCCTCTGCCATGACACTGTATCTTAGAGTCATCCTACTAGGAGCCTCTAGGAGCCATGAGCTAAGTAATCCTTTCCTCCTTTAACTTTGGGCATTGGATATAAAGAAAAGTACCTAAAACAGTTATATATATTTATGACTAATGAGAGAAAACCTACACAATATGCTCATTTATTCATCAGTGATTATTTGGATACACTAATTTATAGTCTATTTTCAAATAAATTTATTATGTTTAGCATAACCATTATAACAATTAAAACAATAACTAGAATGTTCTATGACATGTTTTATTAGTTCTCCAGTCATCATTGGCTTATAGTTAAAAAAAAAAACAGTACTTTGAGATTAAATAAGTTGTAATTCCTTGGAATTAAACAAAAATATTTGAAGTTCTGATAATTTTATATATTTTAGATGATAATACATGAAAATAATGGTATTTAAACTGAAACATGATTGGGTCCCACCACCAGTTTCCTTGTTCTTATGCCTCTGTATCAAAGAACATTATCAAATCTACTCTTTCTCAACACTTTGAAAACAAACATAGCAACACAAAACTAGAATAGAAAAGGTTTTCAGAGTGTGGCCAGGCAGCTCGGACGGAGCAGGGCTTTCCTTACCAGTGGAATAAACTGCCAGCCAGTCTCTTGTCTTCTGCTCACCATGGCTTCTTCTGATATTCAGGTGAAAGAACTGGAGAAGCGTGCTTCAGGCCAGGCTTTTGAGCTGATTCTCAGCCCATGGTCAAAAGAATCTGTCCCAGATTTCCCCCTTTCCCCTCCAAAGAAGAAGGATCTTTCCCTGGAGGAAATTCAGAAGAAATTAGAAGATGCAGAAGAAAGACGCAAGTCCCATGAAGCTGAAGTCTTGAAGCAGCTTGCTGAGAAACGAGAGCATGAGAAAGAAGTGCTTCAAAAAGCAATAGAAGAGAATAACAACTTCAGTAAAATGGCGGAGGAGAAACTGACCCACAAGATGGAAGCTAACAAAGAGAACCGAGAGGCACAAATGGCTGCCAAACTGGAGCGTTTGCGAGAGAAGGATAAACACGTTGAAGAAGTCCGGAAGAACAAAGAATCCAAAGATCCTGCTGATGAGACTGAAGCTGACTAATTTGTTCTGAGAACTGACTTTCTCCCCCTGCCCTTCCTAAATATCCAAAGACTGTACTGGCCAGTGTCATTTTTTTTTTCCTCCTGACAAATATTCTAGAAGCTGATGT